TCACACCCCAGACGGAACCCCAGCTGCTGCAGCCAGCCCCAGTCACCCTCAGCTCAATCATGAGCAGCGAGGCGGAGACCCAGCAGCCGACTTGCGTTCCCACCCTTAGCGCTGCCCTCGCCAAGCCCGGCACCACAGGCAGCGGCGCAGGGAGCCGTGTCCCAGGGCCTCACATCTGCGGCGCCTACAGATAGAGACAAGAAGGTTATCACAAAGAAGGTTTTGGGAACAGTAAAATGGTTCGGTGTAAGAAACGGATATGATTTCACCAACAGGAATGACACCAAGGAAGATGTATTTGTATACCAGACTACCATAAAGAAGAATAACCCCAGGAAGTACCTTCGCAGTGTAGGAGATGAAGAGACTGTGGAGTTTGATGTTGTTGAGGAGAAAAGGGTGCGGAAGCAGCAAATGTTACAGGCCCTGGTCGAGTTCCAGTGCAAGGAAGTAAATACACAGCAGACCGTAACCATTATAGACGTTATCCACGTCTTAGGGGAACTCCACACAACTAGCAGAATTACCAGATTAGCGAGAGCGGGGAAAAGAACGAGGGATCGGAGAGTGCTCTGGAAGGCCAGGTCCAACAGCGCCGGCCTTACCCCAGGCGATGGTTTCCACTTTACTAAAAACCCTGCGGACCTTGACCATAGTATTCCAACCCTCCTGTGCAGGGAGAAGAGATGGAGGGTGCTGACAGCCAGGGCGCAGGAGAACAAGGTAGACCAGTGAGACAGAACATGTATCAGTGTAACAGACCATGATTTCACCGGCTCTCCTTGTCAAAGATGGCTTAGAGGGGCGGCGATGAAGAGGATAAGGAAAATCATAGGAGATGAGACCCAAGGTCAGCAGCCACCTCAGCGTTGGTACTGCCACAACTTCAGTTACCAACGCAGATGTCCAGAAAACCCTAAACCACAAGATGGCAAAGAAACCACAAGATGGTGAAGAGACAAAAACAGCTAATCCACCAGCTGAGAATTCATCTGCTCGCGAGGCTCAGAAGGGCGGGGATGAGTAAATGCTGGCTTACAGTCTCTACCATCATCTGGTTTAGTCATCCAACAAGAAGAAATGACTATGAAATTTCAGCAATAAAAAATGAACATGATTAGAGCTGAAGACCTTAAGTGCTTGCTTTTTGCCCGTTGACTAGATAACTATAACTATCTGCATTATCTATGCAGCATGGAGTTTTTATTATTTTCACATAAAGACGTCTGGTTTTGGTAATGACAGAAGTGTTTTTTAAAAAGCCTGGTTTTTCTCAATATACCTTTAAAGGTTTTTAAATTGTTTCGTATCTGGTCAAGTTGAGATTTTTAGGAACCTCATTTTTAATTTATAATAAAAGTTTACAACTTGATTTTTTCCAAAAAGTCAACAAATGGCAAGTACCTGTTAATAAAGTTCTTAAAAAAAGATGTATAAATTGGGGGAGGAGCCTTGGTGGTGCAGTGGTTACAGTACTCGCTGCTGTAATGGGAGAAAGATGTGACAGTCTGCTTCGTTAAGATTTACAGCCTTGAAAACCCTATGGGGCAGTTCTACTCTGTCCTATAGGGTCACTACAAGTCTGAATCAACTGGATGGCAGTGGGTAAGCATTGGGGAAATTGGGTGAAGGACACATGGGACCTCTCTGCAACTTCCTGTGAATCTGTAAGTGTTTCAAGATAAGAACTTTAAAAAAAGAAGTGCTTGTGTCTTAAAGTGCTTGTGACTATTATAGTTTCTATTGCTTGAAAATAAGCAGAAAAATCATAGGGCTGCCTGGATTTTATCCGGAGAGGAAGAGGCACTATGCTCACTGAACAAACTTAAAGGGACAATGAAAGACAAAATCAAGTTCCTTGTATGAGTGCGCTAAGTGATGATTGCTTGTTCAAGATATCCATTACATATAATATTCCCTTTTTCTTAAAATGCTTGATACCCTTAGTTTTGATGACATGAGACTCTCTTTAATTTACGCATGTTTCTTCTCACTAAATATGTTCCTCTTTTAGTATTCTCTCTCTCATTTGGTGGTGCCATTAGCCAGGTAGTCACCCAAGTCATAAACCTTTTATCATAAACCTTTGTTTCTTTCCTGTCTTCACTACCCCAATTTCCCCTGCTCCCTAGAACACAATCAATGAGCAATTCTTGTTGACTTTACTTTCTAACATTTCCCCCAGTATTACTTCTCTTATTTTAGCTTTCATTCTCTTTCACTTGAATTAATGCAGCATCCCAACACTACAAACCTGCAGCCTTGTTCTCCTTAACTCCATCCTCTGTCAAGAAGCCAGAGTGATCTCTCTAAAATGCATCCAACCCTGCCATCCCTAGCCTAACACCCTTCAATAATTATGCATTGCCTATAGGAAAATTTGAAACTCCTTAAGGTGCCAGTCAAAGTTCCTGATGGTCTGATCTCTGCTACCTCTAGGCTAATCCTTCTCTACAACCTGACTCACCTACGTTATGCAGATTCTTATCTTCATGCCATTGTACATGCTCTGTCCTCTGGCTTGAATGTTCTTGCTTGGAATACTTATACATATTCATACATGCGTATACACTCTCCCATGATTTTCAAGACTCAATTCAAGCATCAAGGCTTCTAGGAAACCTCCTTTGACCCCATTAGGCCAGGTGAGGTTCCCATCTCTGTGCTCCCCGTTGCTGTCACTTAGACTGTGCCTATGGTGTAAGTGCAGTCCTACTTCAGGAGTAGAAAAAAGGATTAAATTATCTCAAAGTCTTTCAATTTTTTTTTCTTTTTAATTAACCCATAAGGCAGTCTGTGTCATCTGGCATATCTCATTCATCATTTATTCAAATCCAATAAACAGTAGTTAATTGCTTCTGTGTAGGATGTAGGAATTATGTTAAAACCACTGCTGTGGAGTCTTTCTGACTCGTAGAGACCCTATAGGACAGAGTAGAACTGCCCCATAGGGTTTCCAAGGCTGTAAATCTTTACAGAAGCAGACTGCCACATCTTTCTCCTGTGGGGTGACTGGGTTTGAACCACTGACCTTTCGGCATCAGCCCAGTGCTTAACCACTGTGCAACCAGGCTACTTAGGAATTATGTTAGGAACAACAAAAACAAAACAAAACAAAAAAACAAAAAACTGTTGCCATCCATTGATTCTGACTTAAGGAGACCCAATGTGTTACAAAGTAGAACTGAGCTCCATAGGGTATTCTCAGCTGTTATGTCTTGGAGAAAGTACAGCTAGAATGTTCCTTAGAAGTTAAGATGGCAAGACATCGTCTTGCTTTTTTTGGACATGTTATCAGTAGGAACCAAATCTTAGAGAAGGACATCATGCTTGATAAAGTAGAGGATCAGAGAAAAAGAGAGACCCTCAATGAGATGGATTGACATAGTGGCTGCACAATGTGCTCAAACATACCTACTACTGTGAGGATGGCACAGAACTGAGTAATTTTTTTGTTCTGTTATACAGAGTCGTTATGAGTTGGAGCCAACTTGACGGCACCTAACAACAACAATCTTTATGGAAGCAGATTGCCAGGCCTTTCTTCTGTGGTGCTGCTGAGTGGGTTCAAACCACCAACCGTTTGGTTAGCAACCAAGAACAAACTGTTTGCACCACCCAGGGTCCTCCATGTTAGGGACAGGGGATGTAAAAATAAGTGAGGCATGCAATATGCATTTTAGATTTGCGGTCAAATAGGGAAACCAGGGCAAGACTTTCTTGAATAAATTAACAACTTGCTCAATCTGTGTTAACTTTGAGATGATCCCCAGAGAAATGCTCTGTTTCTGAGTCATGCTGAAGGAGAACTCATGCTGGTGCAGAGGTTTCCTGTGGTCAACACACTCATACCACTTGTATCTTTGAGTACGTATGGAGCCACAGGCTCTCAGTAGCAGCTTGTGCCAGTTAATTTATTCTGAGCATTTCAGCGGTAAGATCAGCTATAAGATGAGGCATTTGGAAAACTGGTCTTTCTCAATGGCACTATCCACAACATAGTGAAAGAGCTTTCTGAAGAACGAGAAGGATTTACGGCGGTAGTACGGCGGTAGTAACCCGGTGAAGTTGAGACTTAGAATGTTTTCTGTCATCAGAGAGTCATGCTGCTAGATTTCTACCACTGTTTTTCCTATCTTGATTCTAAACATTACCCTGTTTTTATTGTTATTTTGGTTGAAAAGGATTAGAAAATGTTATAGTAAAATATTGTAGGAACTATAGAAGACTGAAAGTTCTTGGTGTGATGCCTAGTCCTTTATGATACCAAACAATCAGTGTACGGAAACAAGAAAGCGTGTCTGCAATTTTGTTAGCTATCAAAAGGACCTTTAGAAGACAAATTGGAGAAGAAATGCTGCCTTTCTTTTTATAATATGACGAAGAGCTAATTCAGCTTCTTTAACAGAAACTCAAATAAGCCCGGCCCTTTCAAAAAGCCTTTATATTCGATGTAAAGGAAAATGTGTCTTCAAATCCTCAGAGCTCAGCTTCCACTGGTTTGAATGGGAGCTGGACATTCAGAGCCAAAGGCTAATTTTGGTCTGTGTGTTTCCCCAATAAGTTCTCTTGGGTGATCATTTTAGCTTCAGCAAAATGTTTCCTCTAGCTATGAGAGCCAGCGTTTAAAAGTTTAAAGCAATGCGAATAGGCCAAAATCTAAATCAATATTCCATAGAACAAATAAAAAGAAAAGAGATTTCAGTGGCAGGCACATGGTATGTGCTACAATTCCCTGGTAGGCAGATCAAGGCGGTTGCAACAAGAACTTAAAAATATAAGAGTCTAAAAAGCAGATGTTAACAAAACTATTCTCTCCCCTTCAGTGAGAAATAACTGGTGAGGTTTTCAGATCAAGACATTGGGGTCATGAAGAGAAATACCATTGTGTAGTGTCAAGTGAGAAATACAGGGCAAAAAGGATTCAGATCAATAGGCAGGAGCTTATTTATCTTCCCCAATGCCAATTATTTTTATCAGAGTTTGTACTGACTGTGTTTAGCTTTTAGGTATATTACTTTTGTTAATATAGTAGTTTATATGGAAAGTACATGGTATGAATGCTGTGTTTTCTCCACCTGCCCTTCCTCCTTTCAACTGCCCCTTAGAAGTCCTGTAACAAATAACATTTGTGGGGAGGGCGGCTTGCCTGCAGATCTCTAGGGCTCTGAAGATTACTCATTATCTTTTGCCCTCTGAGAACACTGAGTGATTCTAGCTTCAAACTGATGACTGGAAGATACACTACTTTGAAAGAACATCCAAAAGCAAGTTCATCACAGGTCCAGTTGATTGTGACATTTTACTTCACTGTAACAGCAATTCGAGATGTCATGGTAAGAAAAACAAACCATAGGAATGCATAGAACTTTCAATATTCTTTAAAGGCTGGGTTTAGTATATGATAGTTTAATTGCTGAAATGCCTAGTGCATTTTATCATGAGGAAAATTTACCTTTTAAGAATATTCCATAGTAATTACAGCAACAGTAGTAAAAATAGATGGAATCTGTAGAGTGACTTATGCTCCAGAACATAGTTTTACCTTATCTCATGAACCTCTAAAGCAGCTTATAAAAGGGATCCTTGGTTTCTTTCAAAGATAAGTTCTTAGTAGGTAAGTGCAAAAGCCCAAAGAAATAATTTTTTTTTTTTAATGAAAAAAAGCATATCCGGAGAGGGAAAACTAGGGAGGTCTGAATTATAAGGTGACCAGTCTTAAAATATCCAGTAACTTGACCTGAAAATGCAGTGAGTATACCTGAAAATATGTCAGGAAATAGATCCTCCTTGAATAAATAAGGGCTACTGAGTCATTGCAAAGGTGTTATCAAAAAACAAAACAAAACAAAACAAAAAAAAACCATTGCCGTTGAATTGATTCCGACTCATAGCGACCATATTCTGATTACCCTTCCTTTCTATTTTCTACTCTTGTGGAAATTAAAATTTTCTGAATCTTGCCTCTATTTTGAGATACTAAGACTTTACTCAATGAGAAAATGCATGTGAAAGTGCTTAAACATGTGAATTGTTTTTCATTCTAGATGATATCTCTTACCATTCTTGGAGTGTAAATCTAGTAATTTTTGAAACTTTTTATGTTCTTTCTTTTTTTTTTTTCTTAACCTCTATACATAAGTATAAAATATCATCCTTGTCCTAGGACAGTTTGCTGCCACAAATGCAACAGGGTACTAGGTAGTATACAAGATAGTATACATCTGGAATAGTAAAAGTTTAGTAAGAAAATCATAGGAACTCTTCATTTGGGCTGGAATAGCTATAAACACATTGCCATCGAGTTGATTCTGACTCATAGCGACACTGCAGGACAGAGTAGAACTGTCCCATAGGGTTTCCAAGGAGCAGCTGGTGGATTCAAACTGCCAGCTGTTTAGTTAGCAGCCGAACTCTTAACCACTGCACCACCAGGGCTCCAGAATAGCTATTGAAGTTCTATATAGAGAATATTAGAGGATTTTGATAGAATAAAAGGAGAAGGCATAAATGCAAGAGTAGGGAGGGACTAGAAGTCATAAGAACAAGGAGAAGAGGAAAACACGACCACTTGAGACATGCAGGGAATATTAATGAACGTGTACATGACAGATATAGCTGAAACAGCTTGACAGGAGGGGAAGGTTTGTACTGAGGGGCTAGTGGGAGCCATAGTTGAAAAGTAGTTTGGGACTGATCTCTGGGGAACAGAACACTAATCTACAGAGTTGGAAAATTCTTTGGCAAGGTGAGCAACTGAGGTTTCTAAGAAGGGATGTGACTCAGTGAAAAAACATATTTTAGACAATTTAACCTGGCAGGCATGTCCAGAAAGGGGGAAAGACTAGTAGCAAAGAGAGCAATTAGGAGGTGGTGATGAAGGTCTAGACTTATTCCATATATTTCTGTGTTTGGGGAACACAAAATTCTCTAATGTTTCCTGAGAGTCCACCAATCTCAGTAACTCTAAACCTAATGGGACACTTAATTTTAATCTACCGTAGGGATTATGGATGTATCTACTTTGTTAACTAAAGAAATAAAACCGTTATGGAGCCCAGTTTAACTGAAATGTACAATTGCACAGACTCAGAATAGCAGACGCTCAATTCATATAATCCTTTAAGACTGTTAAGTAAAAATTACTACCTCATCTAGGAGAGAAGGGGATTTTATTTCAGGATTTTGGAGACTGACCAAACTTGCCTCGATGGATCATTATTACTTTCCCTCAGCATGTTGGCTTTCCACAGATTAGTGTAGAGTTCATACTGCCTGCCTCCTTAATTCCTTCAGTGGGCTGCTTGTAAATGAATGAAGACTGTCCTCATGTCCTTTCTGGAGAAACCAGAGGTGCAGCCAATCAGTGTCCTCGCCTACAACTTAGTTAACTGGCAGCACATTGCCTTGTTTACTTTTCTAGGACTGACTTTTCCAGGCGTTATTACAGAGCAGAAGAGTTTAACTAAACAGGAGCTATGGCTTTTCTAAATATTGGCGAGGTCAAATTCTACTGAACTTTAGGATTTGGAACGATCTGGGTACGTTCTTTTGGTACTTATTATTCTCTCTGCAGCCCTGTTTTTTGTGGTGCTTACTGTTTTGGATGTCTCTTTAAGTTAAGATGTTGTTTAGGAGTTGGTAAAGCTGGCAGACTATGACATTACATGCTGTATTATTCATTGTTTGGTGACTAGACTTCATATCTGTGGTAAAAATAAACATGATGCCTCTCAGCTTACTTCAGTCCATTCAGTACTCTCTGTGAATGGCTTCCTGTAATTGTGTAACTCCCTTTAAAGAATGTATGAAGAAGAAAAGAAGAATCAGTCTTAACCTTGAACTGCATGACATAATTTTTTAGGAGCATGCTGAATGGCAACTTCAGTTTACAGGGAAATACAACAATCACCTTCATTGGCACTGTGAGCATGAAGAGATATTTTTCTTTGACAGCTCCAATTTTTCTTTCCATTCTTTCGTTTGGAAGCAGTCATTTTTATGAGTAGACGTCACAGGTAAAACCCAGGTTGTAATTTTTCTCATTAAGATGGAGGCACTGATTTCTGGCCATGTTGGTTTTAACTTTACTTCATAAATGTACCAGTAGGTGTTGCTATGCTAGCACTAATGTTGACTCTGCAAAGATAAACTGGTCACTTTGTGGTGAGTGGGTTCCTCGAACTATTCTAATTTGGGTATTCCTTGTTAAAGATCAAAACACTGTCCCCAAATACTGAAGGCCTGATGGGATTATTTTGAGTGCACAATAAGTTTTTAAACAAAGAGGTTCTTCTATTCTGCTATGTCAATTCACAAGACAGAAGATAATTTCATTGACTTCGCAGTAGTTAAAGTATTTTGGCCTTTGAGAGAGAAAGCAAGAACCAATTTGTACAACTAGAAAAAAAATCATTTTTATCTTTCACTCTTCTTTTCCTAATTTATTCGTTTTATTCATAATACATATTATTTTTATCTGAGTGTCCTAAACCCACATTTAAAAAAATGTAAATGTGAAGGTCTCTTTGCCTGGTAAAAGCCTCCAGGCATAAATAACCTTTGAAGCATTTTCTTGTTTGTCAGACAAACAAATGAATTTACACAAGACCCATAGTTTAACTCTTTACAACATACCTCAGTGTTTCAAGTATGTTTACATTAAAAAGTGTTTTCATATTTCTATGCATAGGCAGAAAAAAAAAATGATTTCCTTGTGTTAACCTCCATAACCCTACCACCTGTACTAATTATTAGACAAAAGCAACAGATGCTACTGCTTCTGTTTTTGACTTAAATTTGCTAAGCAAAACCCCAAAACTTAGCAGAGTGAAATGTTTGAGAACCCATGTTCAACGACGAGGTTCTTAAAATTAAAAAAAAAAAAGTTCTGATAGTTGTATCTTAGGCAGTAAGCCAACCATTTCAGCGTGTACTTTGATAAAAAAAAAAAAATGCAGTTGTGTATATGTACTGCTTTTAGGAGTCCTCTTTGCACAGTAGATGAAGTGCTCGGCTGTTAATCGAAAGGTCAGTGGTTTGAAACCACCAGCAGCTCTGCAGGAGAAATGTGACAACCAGCTTCCATAAAGATTACAGCCTTGGAAACCCTATGGGACAGTTCTACTCTGTCCTATGGGGTCGCTGTGAGTCATAATTGACTCAGTGGCAGTGGGTTTGGGTTTTTTATACTGCTTTTACATCTCCAAGTTTCCTCAGTCGACCAGGCATACGAAATGTGAACAGTGAAAATCTGAACCTGTATTAAGCTGATCTTTTTGTTTTCTCAAATTGCTAACCACAGCAGAAATCTATATACTTTGGTCTGAAAACTTGTGCTTTAAGCTGAACAACATTGTTTTGAAAACGTGAACATATATTCTGGAACACAGTGAAGAGGAAGACATTGGGTGAAGGAAAGAAGAAAGAATAAAACTAGGCGGAGATGAGAGAGAAGTTGGTAGAAATGTGAAGAATGAATGGGAGTATGAAGCTGTTATCTTTTTGTTTTCATAGTTGCAATTACTCAATAATACGAAGCCGTAATAGTTTATAAAGCCTTTAGCAGGTAGGGCTGAATCACATGAGCCAAAGAGAATGTGGATTTTTCTATAAATCGCTCAGTGCACATTTAAAAATAATCTCTAATAAAAACAGTAAAGTACTTCTGTTGTAGAAATCTCTTAGTGCTTTTTAAATTGCAAAACAATAAAGCATCTTGAGGAGTAGGGTTCAGAGCAACGTAAATACATCTAAACCTTTTCCCATATTATTTTGTAAGGAATTTTCATTGATTTTTATAGTCATGTAATTTGCAATCCACAATCTTTTTCCCCTGTCTCTTTCCTCCCTTCCTCCCTCTTTTCCTCTATGCTCCCTTTTCTCTGTATTTCTTAGTGGTGTCATTTGGGGCAACTTCAGTATATGTTAGATAGCTCAGTCAGACTACACAAGGTAAAGGAAAAACACCCAAACTGTTTCTCTCCCTGTAGCGTTTCATTATTGAAATGCTCTGAAGTCATGGGTGGTGAGTGTGAAAATGTGGAGATGTAGATTGGTTGGTAATCAACTCAATGCTGGTAGTAACCAGAGATGTAGCATTCTAATCAGTCTCTGCAACATCCTGTGGAAGCTGAGTTTAATTCAAATAAATGGCCCATGATACAGACTCACTCCCCTTCAATTCGGTTTCTCCCCTCTGGTGAATTCTTCAGCAGAATTTCCCACTATTTAGTGACTAAATTAAAATTTGTAAGTTGTAGGCAACTGAATATAACGGCAATGATGTATCCATAAAGCATTAAAATTACTTAGACCATTCCATGAAATGAACATT